GTCCCTGCCTTTATTTTCAGTCCATCGAAAAGACGTTTGCTGACCCATCTGTCTTTGAACAACTGTCAACAGAACCTTCGTCCATTGTCACTTCCTTGGTCGATTCGCTTCAACGACAACATGGACGTGCATACCCATGGGCAGTGGGCTCTGGCAGACAACTCCCATCGGGTTACATTCTCGCAAAACGGAAGAAAGACTTCCAAAGTGGACGACCCATCATCTCTTTTGTGGACTCTCCATTCCGTCCAATGCTCAATATCTTGGCCAGACTCATTTTCCAACTCATCCCAACTGCCTGTCCAAACCATTTTGCTACGGGAGATGTCTATACACTATTGTCTATTTTGCAATCAGCGCCTGTGGATGCGGACTTGATTCTTTTCAACCAGGACTTGGCAGGTTTCTTCACCAGTATTGATCAAGAACGGTTTCTCCGATCCTGGTTCATGCTTCTCGACTTCCTGAGACCCAAGATGAATGTCTTTGACGATGAGGTTTTCTCGGTCTATCCAGGGAAAACCAACAATCCAGGCGATATTATCAAAGGTCGCACCTTTCGTCGTCTCAATGTCACTCGCAAGCTTATCATTGGAGACGTTCCAGATCTGATCACTTCAGCCTTGAATATGCAGACCTTCGCTCTTGGACAAAAGTGTGTTCGCCAATGTCGAGGCAGTCCCATGGGCAGTCCCCTTTCTCCGGCCCTCTGTTTGATGGTCGTCTCCATCAGTGAACAAATTTGGCACAACACTTTCCACCACCTTCTTGCCAGTCACCATTTGTTCATTCGGCACATCCGCTACGTTGACAATCGTCTCATTGTTGGAGACAGACGACTCACTTCGTTCGCTCCATATGAAGTTCTTCTTGATGATGGCTTCTACGGAAAACCCATCATCCTCGAAACTGAACCTGATCAAGAATTTCTGGGCTTCATGCTCGAAACCAAACCCTTGGAACTCATCTACCAAGGACCAACTCAAGTCTCTCAAGTTCTGTCACCATTTTCAGCTTCTCCTCCATCGGTTCTCCTCAGCGGATTCCGTTCACGATGTCACATTGTCATCAAAGGCGCTTTTCCATCCTCCCGTGTGCAACAAGGCCTTTCACAGTTAATTCGGTTGTACTCTCGTGCTGGCTTTCCCAATGAGGAACTACAGTCCATTGCAACTCAGTTGATGATTCAGCATCAGAACTCGTCCGGTGCGCTTCAAAAAGAGTTGCAGCAGCCACATGCTTTACATCCCGGGTCTCCCTCTGTCTTCTCTTCCCCTTTCCTGTGTGTCCTGGGCTGGTTGGGTTGTTCCTTCTTTTGCTGTGTCGGTCGTGTCCGCTTGTCGTCTGAGTCTTTACCATTGATCTTTCCTTAGCACATTGGCTCAACTTGCGACTTACCTGGTTCCATCCCTTTCGCCGCTCATGGATACTGCTCAGGTTCGATCCTTTCGTCATCATTTAGCAAGGGCAATCATGCACCTCAACCTTTTGGCGGGGCTGCTACCCTTTTTCGAATCCCCCATCGAAGAGGAAGAGCCGTTGACTCCGACCAATCCTCGGGGGGAACGTACAACAACCAGAGGCCTTCACACGTTTGTTCCGCTGCCTATCTCCACAGGACCTCCATCCTTGGCATCACATGGAGGGATTCCATCCCACATGGTTATCAATCCGGATCCACACCTCCGGCCAATGTCAACATTGTCATCCACAGGAAGTCCACCCATTTGCATCTCTGATCCAACTCGTAATCCTGCTCCTTTACCTGCACCTACACCAATTCCCAGTCCAGTTACTCCAGCCGAGTTTTCCTACCCTCGTGCACCCACTCGTACCACCATCCCTGTTCCAGTCAGATCCAAACAACGGGCATCATCTCTCACTGATCCTCAACCGAAGAAGAAGCAAAGAAGCGACTCACTATTGGAGTCGAGGATCACCATTAACCCCGCTACGGCACATTCCACGTTGCTTCCCATCCCTACGGAAGGCGGTTCAACGATTGAAGCTCGACTTCGTGAACGTGAACTCAACTCTGATGGCTCCGATGTTGAGGATGAATCAAGAGAGGCGATCAGCTATCATCACATCTCCACCACCGCTCCAGTGGAAACACCCACACTTACTTTGACTGCCAATCCTAAAGCCCTTCCTGTACCGTCCCTTTCGCTTCGTACCACAACTGACTCCGCACCTGGACATCTCCGTCCATGGAGTAACGCTGATGATCAAGAACTTACGAATATGAAACACGATAGCAGATCTCGACCTTCGTGGAAGACGATCGGATCCCGACTTCAACGGGATCCTCAGGCATGCAAAATGAGATGGGCCATTCTGAAACAAAGCCTTGAAATGATCGACCATGTTGAGTCGATTGACAATCCTGAGAGAGCCAACCCGCCTCCAGAACCTGAGGGGGAAGACTGACCTTAGCTCTGCCCGCAGCTCTGGTAAAATATGGTTTCTGGCTGCTTGCACTTCGTCTTGTGTTCTTTCCCTCCTCTTCTTTTCTTCTCCCTCCTCGTCCTTGGCTTTCCCTTGCTCCTCTTTTTTCTCGGTCGTTTGTTGGGTTTTCTTGATGTCGACTGTTTTTAGCTAATATGGCTCATTCTTCATCCCGACGTCGCTCCATTCCCGAACGTTCTCGGTCACGGGACGATCCCATGTGGCAACATCGTCGTCGCCCACACCCAGATCAATACCAACCTCAATGGCAAGATGATCCTCATCATACTCCTCAACCTAGAAAGGTCCTGGCCATCGTAAACCTTGAACAAGTCCGTCCACTCATGAACAAGACACACGATGAGTCCATGGCTGCCACGACTTGTGAAGTTCTCCCACGCTTAAGTCAAGTGGAAGAACGTGCCCTGTTTACCTTCAATGTCTTGCTCAATACCCATCGGTTGGAAACCTTTTCGGTGTACAACCTGTTGTACTGCATCAGTCAACACATTTGGTATACTTGGGACCGCTACTTGGCCCCATCTTCTGGACATCCGATGGCAAGACGACACTGGTGATACATTTGCTCTCCGAAACGAAGATCGCTTGGTGGACTATCTCAATGCATATCGTCCTCATTGGACGGAAGGACAAGAACACAGTGAATTCTTTCCGGATGAGATTCAAACGTTTTCGTCTCACATCCAGCCTTATATCATGCGCATGTCCTGCCATGAGGCTCTCCCGAATCGTAACATGCTTCCCTGATCCAAGAAAAAGTTGACATGGCAAGCTCCTGGGGTCCATGTTTGCCTGCGAAGGTTTGCTTTTGTTTTTGTCTTCCTTGCTCTTTCCCTTTCCTGTTTCTTGTGTCTGCCGAGTTACTGTCAGGTTTTCTTCCTTTCCCTTTTCGGCTCCAGACTGATCATGGCCAAACGGGATTCCATCCGCGCTGGTTTCACCATTCCTCCGTACCCAATGAGCATGCCGCGTCGTCACTCACGACCTTCTGGCTCCCATAGCAGCACTGCTGCTCCGTCCAGCTATGATGCCCATCCTCCCAGTGGTTCGGCCTATGCTGACCTAGCTTCGGAGACCAATCCCAATCCTGATGATTCGAGCATCCACTTATCTCAACCCGGATATTCTACGGCAATTCCTACGGTACCCCTTCCTGCTACGACGGCATCAGATTCCCATCGTTCCAAGTCAAGAAGAGTCTTTTCCCCTCCAGAGGGAGATGAGAGAACAGCGTCGCCAATTGCACGCACATTATTTCATCGAAGTCATTACTCCCAATCCTGACAACTCCTTACCACCACACCGCCGAATGATGGTGACGGAAGTGGATCAAGAAGGAGTACATCGCAACAGGCAACCGGAGTTCTTCTTCAATGGGATTATTGGTCACATCCGTGCTAACCAGAATGGATGGATTGACTCTTGGGGACAAGCTTCCCATATTGCCAATTACTGGCGTCGACATTTCCAAATACCGGAAATCCATTCTTCCAATCACTGGTATCAACAATCATTTGACTCGGATGGAGAAAATGATCGACACCATACCGGCAATGTCTCCCATGAGGGCTCGGATATGGATGATAGTGAATCAGTTGAAGTCCATGTGGATCATGGCTCGGCTCCTGCCCAGATCCATCAGCTGGCTACCATTCTTTGGAATGCTCTCAACAATGACAGAGCGGCCAACTTGGCCATCTTGGACCGATTGGATGAAAGCAATGCTGATCCTGTTCAGATCTTCTCGGCGGCAGACTTGGCTCATCTTGCAAGCCATTTGGCTCATACCATGGCCCAATTATCCCAGACAGCGGCAACTATGGAGGCAGTTTCTGACCTGAGCGAGTGAGTGAACCTCAAAACCGCCTTGAGCAACTCTGATAATTCAGCTGCATGGTTCTTCCCTGTATTTTGATTTGCGAATTGCACGTCCTGTCCAGGGTCCAATAAGAGCTCATCCGACAGTTTTGCGGCATGAAAATCGGCCTCGCGGCAGCGAGGCGTGTGTGTGAAACATCTGAAGAGATGTAAAACTTCCTTTCGATTCGTTCTTTTATTTTTTCTAATCCTGTTTCAATCAGCAGGGGAGTGCGGCATGATTGTGGGACCGCACTCAACGAAGCTACCACAATCATGGGATACTGGGTCTGATCAACCCAGCGTACCTGCCATTTCAATTTCCGCTTTGCAAGTTTCTTGTCAATGGCAACCGGCTAAGCCCAGAACCGGCAAGTCGATTCGATTTTCATTTCTTTTCTCCACTGTTGTCGCAATCTGGCATCTTATTTTATTATTTTATTTGGAGTTCAGCTGCATCAGAACCTTCTTCAGAGCAAGGACGTAGAAAGTATACCTCGAACTGAATTTCACGATGGATCAACCAATTTCTCCTGTCAGGTTTACTGGATTGTTTTTTGCACGTACGATGCATTCCACAACAGAAATTCGCAATGATGTTTCTGAGCAAGTGTGTGTGTGTGGCTCTGAGATCCGCAAAACCTTCAGCCCGCTCGGTGCCGCCTTCTCTGCAGGAGCTGCATGGTCCGGAGCACGAAAAGACCCGAGGGCGTCGCCGCAACCTGGAGCGATTCCAACGACAGCACGGGCCAATTGATTAAAGGCGCTGTGAGACCAAAATTTCCCTCCAAGACATTCACAGGCGATATGCTCGAATCGGTTTCAATCTTTACCAAGATGTTTGGACTAATTTTGATGGAAAGCTGGCCTGTGGCCTTGTCTTTTCCCACTGTCAAGGATTTTGCTTCTGAGGCACGTGGAGGCATGTTTGAGTCTCTCAAAGTTCTGCAATTCAGATTTTGTTCAGAACATGTTTGACCGATAAAGAGACGTTTGAGTTTTTGCCCAACTTGTTGCAGTTTGGGTTTGGGAATGGATTCGCATGCCAGCTTCTCCCAGAAGTATAGCAACATTTTTCCAACAAATTGCATTGGTATGCCTGTGGGATTGTGGCTGATTCACTTCAGAAAGTTCTGCATTTTCCACCAAGTCTCCATTGACTCGCAGGCATATCAGCATCTTCCAGCCCGTGACCCTGCATCGCATTGAGCCGCAAGCTATCATCATCTATCAATATCTCCCGTTTCACTGAGATCTATAGAACCCGAAATCGGAGCTTCGAATTACCAAGCAAATCTGTCCAAACAGGGCGCGTCTCGATTTGACCCCCACAGTACTCGAAGTCTGCAGACTTGGCGTCTGGGATCGGATCACTTCCAGAGTCACAAGGTCAGGGCCTCTGATAGTGTTGCCCAGCAATTGTTGGCGCAAAAACAATGATTTGTTTTTTATAATTTAGATTTATTTATGTGTCATGTGTTATGATGTGTTATGTCTTTTTGGCAACCTCAGCTGCTTCTGGTCATGCGTCAACCGTTCGACTTTGGTGTTCAAGCTTGTGCCAGTGAGGCAGTGAGTGCCTAGCTTTCTTGGCCAACCTACTCTATTCATGTGCCAAACTTCCTTTATATCCCGTGTCAATAAGACCCGGAATTGGTTCCCAATGAATTTTGAAACATCTGAAAAACTTTGGCCAGGTCCGAGCGACCTCGAAAGAAGGGCTTGGGAGGTTTCTCCGACTTAAACCCTGATTTGTTTCCTTGGAAGAGGCTTTATGAGTGAAACTTTGGAGTCAGGAAGTGCCTGTGGAGCCCAAAATTTCCTACATCCAACATGGTAGTTAACAGCTAGACCCCGGTCATGCATGTCAGGATTTGTAAGTAGTCAAGACATCCATAAGTTTTGTGCCTTAAACATCTTAAAATCCACTTCATCCACTAGTCTGGCAGCGCTTTTGAGCCTGTGATGTGGCGCCGGGCCATGGCGGATCAACAGGCCGCTGTTCCTTTGGCAGAAAACGAAGTGGGATGGCCCTGGAAGTAGGGCATAGGCTGCTGAATCTCATGAGGTTTGTGGAGTTGCACCCAAGAGCATTAATCAACCTTCAAACATGATCTCTCGGTCTTGCTCTGGCTTTGGAATGCGGTCACCATTCGGACATATTTGGATTTGCAATCGACGTAGATCATGAGGGTGACTTCCATTTTGCAGGGTGCCAGCGCAGGGATTTCGGTGGTTTCGTTTGAAAACAGTCTCGTTGACTGGAATGTGAAGTGGAGATCCACAATTTTGATAATTGATCTTGCATGTGATTGCCTTAAGATGCCCATTTTTGTGAAAATCTACTGGCCCCCAGCCCCCAACTGTGAAGACATCTTCAACATTGAAACATTTTTTTGCGTGGAAAACTAGCGCCCCAAAAATGGATGAGGGATGCTTTTATGGCAGACATGGTCTCAACATTGAAGCCCGTTTTGGCTGAATCATAGTGCCCCAAACTGGATGCCCTTGATGACCGAAGACACCACTTTTTTGTACAGGACTATCGCCCCGAAATGAATGCATTCTATGACAGGCATGTTCTCAACATTTCTCAACATTGAAACCTGTTTTGCCTGAAACAGAATGCCCCCGAAATGGATGCCTTTCAGCAAAGATTTTTTAATTCTCAGCGTGAAACCTATTTTTTGTTGAAACCTGATGCCCCCAAAACCAATGCCTTTCATGTCAAAGATGTTGTCAACATTGAACCTTTTTTTTGTTTGACTTAACGCCCCCCAAATGGATGCCTTTATGAAAGATGGTCTCAATGTGAAGCCAGTTCTTTTAAAGCAAAATGTCCTCCAAATGGATGTCTTTCAACAAAGACTTTTTAATTCTCAGCGTGAAACCTATTTTTTGTTGAAACCTGATGCCCCCAAAACCAATGCCTTTCATGTCAAAGGTGTTGTCAACATTGAACCTTTTTTGTTTGACACAATGCCCCAAAAATAGATGCCTTTATGAAAGATGTTCTCAATGTGAAGCCAGTTCTTTTAAAGCAAAATGCCCTCGAAATGGATGCCTTTCAGCAAAGACTTTTTAATTCTCAGCGTGAAACCAATTTTTTGTTGAAACCTGATGCCCCCAAAACCAATGCCTTTCATGTCAAAGATGTTGTCAACATTGAGCCTTTTTTGTTTGACACAGTGCCCCCAAAATGGATGCCTTTATGAAAGATGGTCTCCATGTGAAGCCAGTTCTTTTAAAGCAAAATGCACCCGAAATGGATGCCTTTCAGCAAAGACTTTTTAATTCTCAGCGTGAAACCGATTTTTTGTTGAAACCTGATGCCCCCAAAACCAATGCCTTTCATGTCAAAGATGTTGTCAACATTGAACCTTTTTTGTTTGACACAATGCCCCCAAAATGGATGCCTTTATGAAAGATGGTCTCAATGTGAAGCCAGTTCTTTTAAAGCAAAATGCCCTCGAAATGGATGCCTTAAAGACGTTTTAATTCTCAGCGTGAAACCTATTTTTTGTTGAAACCTGATGCCCCCAAAACCAATGCCTTTCATGTCAAAGATGTTGTCAACATTGAACCTTTTTTGTTTGACACAATGCCCCCAAAATTGATGCCTTTATGAAAGATGTTCTCAATGTGAAGCCAGTTCTTTTAAAGCAAAATCCGCCCGAAATGGATGCCTTTCAGCAAAAACTTTTTAATTCTCAGCGTGAAACCTATTTTTTGTTGAAACCTGATGCCCCCAGAACCAATGCCTTTCATGTCAAAGATGTTGTCAACATTGAACCTTTTTTTTTGACACAATGCCCCCAAAATGGATACCTTTATGAAAGATGTTCTCAATGCGAAGCCACTTCTTTTAAAGCAAAATGTCCTCGAAATGGATGCCTTTCAGCAAAGACTTTTTAATTCTCAGCGTGAAACCTATTTTTTGTTGAAACCTGATGCCCCCAAAACCAATGCCTTTCATGTCAAAGATGTTGTCAACATTGAACCTTTTTTGTTTGACACAATGCCCCCCAAAAAGGATGCCTTTATGAAAGATGTTCTGAATGTGAAGCCAGTTCTTTTTAAAGCAAAATGTCGAAATGGATGCCTTTTCAACAAAGACTTTTGAATTCTCAGCGTGAAACCTATTTTTTCTTAAAACCTGATGCCCCCAAAATGGATGCCTTTATGAAAGATGGTCTCAATGTGAAGCCAGTTCTTTTAAGCGAAATGCCCGCGAAATGGATGCCTTTCAGCAAAGACGTTTTAATTCTCAGCGTGAAACCTATTTTTCGTTGAAACCTGATGCCCCCAAAACCAATGCCTTTCATGTCAAATATGTTGTCAACATTGAACCTTTTTTGTTTGACACAATGCCCCCAAAATGGATGCCTTTATGAAAGATGTTCTCCGTGTGAAGCCAGTTCTTTTAAAGCGAAATGCCCGCGAAATGGATGCCTTTCAGCAAAGACTTTTGAATTCTCAGCATGAAACCTATTTTTTGTTGAAACCTGATGCCCCCAAAACCAATGCCTTTCATGTCAAAGATGTTGTCAACATTGAACCTTTTTTGTTTGACACAATGCCCCCAAAATAGATGCCTTTATGAAAGATGTTCTCAATGTGAAGCCAGTTCTTTTAAAGCAACATGCCCCCGAAATGGATGCCTTTCAGCAAAGACTTTTGAATTCTCAGCGTGAAACCTATTTTTTGTTGAAACCTGATGCCCCCAAAACCAATGCCTTTCATGTCAAAGATGTTGTCAACATTGAACCTTTTTTGTTTGACACAATGCTCCCAAAATGGATGCCTTTATGAAAGATGTTCTCAGTGTGAAGCCACTTCTTTTAAAGCAAAATGCCCCCGAAATGGATGCCTTTTGTGACAGCTGTTCTTAATGAGAAACCTTTTCTTGTTGCACATGATGCTCCCCACATGGATGCCTTTTCTGTCAAAGAGATTGTCAACATTGAATCCTTTTGTTTGACATATTGCCCCTGAAATAGATGATGGCAGATGTTCTCAATGTCAACCCCTTGTTTTGTTCGTCCAAGTTTTGGAAAAGACGCTCTGAACTTTGAAAACCCTTTTGACAGAGACATTCTGCACGCAAAATGCTCGCCTGCCTTGTGAAACAAAGGCCCCCCCGAATGAGCTCGTGCCTTGTTTTCTGGGATACAAAATTATTTTCAGGGCTTCTGACTTTTTCACTTGGCTCTGGCTGTATATCCCGACCCTGCAAAATCATTCCAAAATGCAGCCTCAGCCTGGAGATATGGAACCTATTTTGGACCACCTTTTGGGACCCATAATCGATAGGTTCCCAAAACTTTTCTTTTGGGCAATTTATCAGGGCCAGTGACTAGAACAAATTAAACATATTTTGCTTAGGGCAGTTTGTACATGTTACCAGCGTACCGGATAGGACACACAGCTACTTTGATTTTGATATTTTCACGACAAGAAACGATCGCCTCCCACCGAACCAAGCGACCAAGTCTCTGCAGTTTCACTGCACCAGGAGGAAATTCAGATGCGTTCATGGAGGCGCCTGTGTAGAGGCCACAAAGATCGACTTGTTCGGCTGTTTGATCCAGTTTCAAACGTATGGGAACAGATCACTCGAGTCTTATAGTCTTATCTCGTTTTTTGAGGTGGCTAACCATCTTCCTGTCTATTCGAGTAGGGCGAAGAAATGCTGCAATTGTTAAGTGGTTAGTGGTTTGACTCATATTTTCCATCTTCCATCCATACTTGGGATGGTTGG